GATCTCCTCATGTTGCTCTCAAAGTGCACCAGATTGATGCTTTTAACTTCAATATTTAAAAATGCCCCCGGACCCCCCTAGAGGAGGTTAGGTCCCCCCCACTTAAATCATGTTCACATAGAATACTAAATACATTTGCACACATCTTGTGTCCATATCTGTCTGTTTTGGTGGTCATGCCACACCGTGCGCATGCATGCGTGAGTCATGGTAAAATGGATTAAGAGGTTGCTTTTCTTTGCACAGCATGAAAGAAAGGCCAGATGAATTGGCTGTGATTTTAGTTTTTTTAAGCAGAGGTTGAGTTCAATAATTTGTACGGCCCTCGGAGGATGTTGTAAAAATTGAAAGGAAAAAGGTTCCCCACCCCTGCTGTAAATAATAATAAAAACCCTTGATTTATAACTTAACATCTCTGTCTCCTATTGATCTGAGTATATTATAAAGAATAGCCAGTTAATTGAAGCATTATAGCACAGGCCTTTGTCAGATGGTATATTACGCTGTTTTTTTCCTGCTTCGAATAGTTCTCTCTTTTTTCACCATACCTGTGTTTGCATCACTGGTTGAAACACCACAAATTAATCCTTAGATCCTTTGAGAAATGGTTGAAGGCAAGGCAAGGCACATTTATTTATATAGCACCTTTCAACACAAGGCAATTCAAAGTGCTTTACAAAAATGAAAGCCATCAAGGTGCTGTTTACACGAGAACGCAAACGGTTGTATCTGCTACTTTTCCCTTTCGTATAGCCCGTTCATCGTATTCAGTTCGTTTGCGTTTCGTATGCTTTTGCGTGTAAATGGGGTCTAAGAGCATTTAAGAAACATATTATAAAATGGCAACATCATGCTGTTCTCTGAATATTTTGTTTACTCATTATGGTCATTTTAAATCCATTTCCTGATACCAATTATATGGAATTAGGGTTAGGCCAGACATTGTTCTAGAAAAAACTCATGCCCCCTCAGAAAAATAGGATTTACAATGTACTAAGGTATACTTGTACAACATCATCAAATGTAATATAAGACATTTGCCACTTGCTCAATTGTTAAAATAAGCATATATGTGATCGGTTGTGTCATGCCATGCAAACAAAAACAAACTGATTTGCTGACTTGTCCCTCTGCCTTTTTCCTTTCCTTCCCTCCGCCCTCCAGGTTCAGTGAAGTATCTGGAGTGCTCCGCTCTGACGCAGCGTGGCCTGAAGACGGTGTTTGACGAAGCCATCAGGGCGGTGCTGTGCCCCCCGCCCGTCAAGAAGAGGAGGAGGAAGTGCAGAATATTGTAAGGGAGACACACAGGGAGTAGAATAACACAGTTGCAGTCAGAACCCGCCTACCTAGGAGAGGATGGCTGGGTTCCCCACATATCTATTCACCCCGTGTCCTTGCTTACATAGAAGCTCTGGTAGATCAGATCTCCATCTAAAAGGACTTCACAGATTTAAGCAGCGCTGAAGGTTTTTCTCTCAGATCTGGTTTCTGTTTGCTTTCATCTGTATCGTCCTTTCAGATCGACAGGAATGAAGTGACTTTGCTAGGCCTTGGGGAATGTGAGGGAGAGGGTGATTTAACATTTCACATCATCTGTCTCCTACGTTGTGAAGAAACACTACTTGAATGTGATTTTATCATGAATTAACTGAAGATTTAACTCTTAAGAGAAGGGGGTCCTGCATTGCACTCTTTCCCCTACACACTACAAGATTCCTGCTGCCTTGATGACATTTTACTTTTAGCAAGAAATGTGTTTCAGTAGCTCTAATTTCCATCGTCAGTTTCTTTTCAGCTGCGGTTGTTGGACAGTTTGTTTACATGTTTCATCTGACTAAACTGAGGTGTTGCCAAAACCCAACGGTCATCACTTTGTAGTCGCTCCTTGGACACTAAATATCTCTTCCTTATTAACTTAGTTTCTAACCTGTTCAAGGTACCATCATGCAGTCACAGTTAAATCCTTAAATGACATATAACCTTTGTTGTAGCAGATGCTAAACTAAGTACTAATTTCTCTGTACAAGTAACAAGCATTTAAAACGCAGTCTCTGCTAGACGTCTAACAGGTGAATGTGAACACACGCAGTATTTTCTAACTGTCGGGCCTGTGAGCGTGCAGCGCTGCCAGTGTTGTTGTGCTGTTTCGTCCTCAATCTATCTGTAATTATAAAACTCTCACTAAGTTCTTGTTGATTTTGACCACATCTACTACTGTGTGTAATGAAGTCTACGAGCCAGTGCACTCAAGGTTATAACGGATGTCTCTTGTTGTACAATATGAGCAGTAGCTTCGAAGCAAATGCATTTTATTTTTAAACGAGCAATGATCAAATTGCATGGGTGCTCTGGGGAGCCTCTGTAAATCTCATTTTCAGTGCGCAGTGGACATTTCTCGCTTAATATGTTTTAATTTTCACATAGTAATATGCAGATTTTTTTTTGTAAGCAAATAAATTCATTTAAAATTATCTGTTTGATTTGTTATTTCTGTTCAAACATCATGGTGCAGGGAAATCATATAAGTAAGACTGCAAGAGATGAGCTTTTTTTCTTTATTTAGTCTAGTAGTTTCTCTGGACCAGTGCGCATCAGAGTGCCACCTAGTGGGTCGTGAATGTACTGCCAAATTTAGATTTAAATAAAAAATGTATGTAATACACAAGCTAGTTATTTTTAAATATCTAAATATAATTCACTCACATTAAAAATATTCCCATGTCAGGTAGAAACAAACATGTTACTGTTACTTCATGCATTGATACTAAATGCACTAGTTTTTGGGTAAACCAAATCATAATTGTAATGACTTGAATGTTATAGACGAACATATATGGAAGAACCCGGTCCCATTTCAAGTTAAAAAGCATGTGGTGAGGAAATATGACCGTGGATACATTAAAGGGGACCTCTCATGCAAAATGCACTTTTTGATGTCTTTTATACATATATATGTGTCCCCGGTGTGTCAGGGAACTCACGCAGCGTCAGAAAATAAAGCCCTCTCTCTTTTCCTCCATACCCAAATCTCTGAAAACGGGGCTACAACGGAGCTGATCCAGATTTGCGTCCGATATGACTTAATATCTGAAATGTGGACCCACGGCACTATCATAAAGTTGCTATCAGAAACAATGCCCGTCTGTTTTGGACGTAATATGGTCGGTGTTTACACTAGCATCGCTAACACTCNTATCCAAAAAGAAAAATCTGCTTACAGTTCCAGTGTTTCCCCTAGGATGGAGTCATAGCAGCGGTGCTCACGCTCACATTATGCTGGGCCCACGTGCCTTAGCACCGCTGCTATGACTCCATCCTAGGGGAAACACTGGAACTGTAAGCAGATTTTTCTTTTTGGATATTTTACAAATCACTCCCCTTTTAAACTTTATTCTTGATATTGTTAACAACTTTTTTGTTACTGTCATATAGTATTTTATACCTGTTTTTCATTTAGTCTCTAATGTCTCATTAATAATTATAATGATCATATTAAGGTGTGCCTTAACCTCACTGAGCTGAGGTTATTTGAGCCTCTCAGGAGAGCTCTCTTCCACCTGGTTGTAGAAAAGCTGTTTAAATTAATTAGCATAGCTAGCTAACCAGATGCTAATAACAACAGATCGCCACTGTGCTTACAACTAAAGACACAGCCACGCAAACACTGCGGCATGTGTACGGCTCCTTATGGGTACTGCAATATTTGAAGAGCTGGAACGCGTTCCGGTGCTCTCCGTAAGCACTCTAGTCTACAGTACACACTCCTGTAAAACGAGACATACCACGTGAAGACACGTTACGCTCGTGTTGTGTTCAAGGAACCTGTCCTTGGCCAGGAAAAACAGGCACTCGCTTGTTTAATTATTTTGCGATCTAGATTTCTTCTTCTTTTTTGAAGTGAGAAGTTGTCACTAACGGACGGACTGACGGACCCCCCCCCAAAACGAAAACTCTTCGGTTCTCCACGAATTACACAAGTCACCCAAAGCGGCGTTAAAAAAGCGGGAGGCGCCAAAAAGCGACTAATTTGCATCACTGTTCAACTCACTTATTTCTTTAGCCATGGCCAGGCCCTGAGGGTAGGTGATGGGGCTAAGCTTCTTCTCCTTCAGTTTCTCAATCGTGTCCTTGTCGTCTCTCAGATCCAGCTTGGTGCCCACCAGGATGATGGGCGTGTTGGGACAGTGGTGTCTCACCTCAGGGTACCACTGAGGGGGAGAGGGGGGACAGTCAGCGGTCGCAGGATGCAGACAGTGTGGAATATTTAATATATTCAAAAAGGGTCATGGGTTATTTATTTATGACCGACAGTCTGTTTCTGCCTTTAAATGTGTACTTAATGGCTGAATATTTACATTAATCGCAACATGTTGAATGTCTTTTGCATAAAAGTATACATATTGTCATTACATCTGTAATTTTATATATTTTAAAATAAGGTTTTGAGAGTTATTTTGTATTTACATAAGAATAAAAGTAAATGCTTCAGTTAAGATTGTTGATTTGATTCAAAAATTCCTATGATATCTAAATAAGCCCAGTCACTGTTACATTAATAGGTGTGTCAGAAACTGTTATTGTCTAATGGCTAGAATCCAAGATACGGCTGTCTTATTCCTCTACCAAAATGTAATGTAATTATGAAATGTTATGCAAACTTAATATTAACATTATCGGCCAATTTTACAAACTACAGGGATGTAGAGCAGGTTTTTCTCACCTTGGCACGGACGTTTTCAAAGGAGGCCGGACTGACTAGTGAAAAGCAAATCAGGAACACATCCTGAGGAGGAAAAGGACAAACATCAAGTCACCATTAACACATTTTATAGCCACTGTGTAAGTGTTTAAGTTACTACTGGGACAAGAATACCTACATCTTTGACACTATGATGCTAAAGATAGCACACAACATTGATTTAATAGACCCCAAATGCTAAGACATGAGGGTTCACAGAACTAGACACTGTTGGTTAGATCCACCCTGACTCTCGCTCTCAGCTCCTTGTGAGTCTCTGGCACAGAGGCCAGTTTGTTGTGGGGACAAAGAGCGCAAACAAGAGCTGCCTTTCACTTCCTGCAGACAGTGTATAGGTACTATGGATACGAGGCTCTACTCTGCTGAGTGTCTGAAGCATTTAAAGCCAGTGAATGACTCTAAATCAATGGTGGCAAAGTGAGAACAGTGTTCATGCTAACATTGTCTGGCTGATACTGGTCAGTGCACGGCAGCTGTCTGAGACCATGCTGTTGTTAGTGAAGTGTATGGATGTGTGTACGTACTGTCTGAGGGTAGGACAGAGGCCTCAGCCTATCGTAGTCCTCCTGTCCCGCTGTATCCCACAAGCCCAGGTTCACCGGTTTGCCATCCACCATCACATTGGCAGAGTAGTTGTCAAAGCTGTAGGAGGGGGGAGGGGAGAGAGGATAAGCTATGAAAAATGTAGTTTAATGCATTTCAACAATTTTCCCTAAAGGATAGGGCTAGGCGATTATTCAATATGATAATTGTTTGTCTTTTAATGGAATCATATTGTGGTGAAGTAAAGTTTTAATTCATAAAAACATATACAACACATACTAAATCAAATATACCACGGCCTGTCGTGAGCTATTACTTAAATATATACTTTCCTTCTCAAAATGTTTACTTGAAACATCTTGCTTCCTCAAGTTAATAGTTGATTCGGCCATATTGGTTAAGTATGCATGAACGGGCAGGTGTAGGTGTGTGCGTGTGTGTGTGTGTGTGTGTGTGTTACTTACACTGTTGGGATGTACTCTCCAGGGAAGGCATTGGTAGTGTAGCTGATGAGCAGGCATGTTTTCCCCACAGCCCTGAGATTAGAAAAGATCAAAAGAGAAAATACAAAGATGAGAACTAAAACATGTATTTTTACATTATATCCTTAAGTGGAATTTATGCAAACGCAAGGCAGTTTCTATGTGTATGCATATTGTATGTTTAACATGTCTTGCCTGACAGGTTAAAAAGTCAGAGAGGTCTGGTCTAACCTGTGTTGCCCCACTTGAGTGCAGTTTCTCCCCATGGGATGATAGTTTAATATCATCCATTTTTTGTATTCATGTGCAATATCAATATTTGTGCAAAACTATCATCATACGTGGAAACAATCATGTTGTAATTGTAGTACTTCCTCCTGTTGTTGCACTGTCCACTCGCTGCAGAAATGACCCTGGTAATTTCCTGGTTGTGGGACTCATAAAAGGTAATCTTATTTTATGCCTACACTTCAGATTACGTCATCAGTTTATGCATCAAAGGCTGCTTTAAAGCTGGTGGTGGACTTTATTGTAGTTGGGTTATCCAAAACAAAATAATAACTTGGAAAAATAAATTGTTCCAAGGCCTTAAGTGACTTTGGTTAAGGACAAACCTACAAAGTGTGTGAAATGTCTCAATAGTGAAAAATGCAATTATTTGTATACAATGTTGAAAAGTAACTTCGTAAAATACTTAAGAACAATTTTGAGATTCTTGTACGTGAATATTTTTATTTCATGCTACCTCATTATTCTACTCTAATTTGGAAGCAAATACTGTACATTTTACTTTACTCTGCATTTATGAAACAGCTTCAGTTGAGAGTGGCAGGTTCATTTTATTAATGTGACAAACAACTAATGATTTATGATTTACTATTATGGACTTACTGTAAGTATAACAAGTCATTAAAAGGTAGCTCCACCTTTGCTACCAGCAGCTAATTAAAAATGAAGTAATGGTTTACTGATTACCATCCAGTGATATCATAATATAATATTGCGAAAGCGGCCATTCTGCAAAGGGATAGTAAAGTGCATTTACTCAAGTACTATAACAGTACATTTGAGAGACTAGTACTTTACTTGACAATTTACTTCACTAGATGTATTTAATAGTAATGCCTTTAGTTACTTTTGCAGACTTTAGTTACACCTTGATTAACATTCACAAGCTGCAGTATACAACTTAATTAAAGTTAGCTGTACCTTTAACATCTATAAATCAAAACCCATAATACATATTCATCTAAATTACAGCCAATCTGCATGATGAGTACTTTAACTATTGGCGCTTTAAGTATATTTTGATGGCAATACTTTTGTACTTTAACTTGAGTAACATTTGCAATGAAGGACTTTTACTTGTAAAAGAGTATTCCTACACTCTGGTACTTCTGTACACGATCTGAGTGCTTCTTCCACCACTGCTTCTTCATGGGTCGGGTTATAAAGCAGCTCGGTTAGCTGTCGAGATGGCGGCCTGCGTCATGTCTAATAAATGACATGCTGTGACCCATCTAGTCACACCTAACCGGAGCATGTAGATAAATCTGTCTGACCCAGCTGGGCTGCAGAGCAGGCACAACAACAGCTGTCGCTCAACTTAGCATGTTATCTGGAGCTTCATAGCGGGTAGACAACTGTGTGAAAAGGGGGTCAAAGACAGCAAACTATGTTATAAACATGAGTCAATTTTGGGCGTGTTGTGGGTTAAAATAAGGTTGAAAGGGTGGTTTTACGTCACGTTTCCTACTGCCTTAGCATGTTATCTGGAGCTTCATAGCAGTTAGACAAGTGTATGAAAAGGGGGTCAACGACAACAAACAATGTTAGCTGTTGAACCGCTTTCATATAAACCAGTTTTGGGAGTTTTATGGGTTAAAATAAGGTTAAAAATATGTTTTTTACGTCACCGTCCTCCACTATCTTTGCGTGTTTTCTGGAGCATGTTAGCCGTTAGACAACTTTTGGTAACCGGGTCAGCAAAACCTAACTATTTTAGCTTTTAACTGCTTTAATTAGGATAGTTTAACTGTTTAAGGTTAAAAATATAGTTAGACTTACCCGTCCCCCACCACCACACACTTAATGGCCTGCATTGGTCGCCTCTGTCGCTAGCAACCCAGCCAACGGTAAATGGTTTCAGTTAGCTTAGCAGAGGCTAACGGCGGCTAAAATAAAACCAGCCGGTGTCGCTTGGCAACGTAACCAAAGTGCCTTCGACTGCGCTCCAAAAGTTAATATAATGTCGTCGTTTAAGAAAGTTATCCAGATTGTGTGTCCTTCTCAGCAACACCCGGTGAAACTCCAAAGTTGTAATCCGAACAGGCAACACCCAGAAAAGAAAAAACTCAGGAGGCAAGATAGGGGAAAAAAACGCCCACAGATGGGAGCTGGAGCTCGGAGATCCCTGGTCACATCCGGTGAAAGCAGGCCGGAGAAACACTTCCATCTACCGGTGACTACAGGAAACACACCAGGTGACAAGGCAACTCAGGTAGATCTATTTTGGTAAATACAGTGATGGGAGAAATATGAACATACTTTTCCCAAATGAAAAATATGGAAGCCCATTTACGCCATTAAAAAAATAACATGAAAAGCTAGGCTTGTGAGGAAGAATTTGAAAATCGTGTAAGTCATTTTTTATACAAAGTAATTTGTTCGATATCATGTCATTATTGTGCAAACTAAGTCAATATTTAGAGATACTTTCTGTGATACTAAGGTTACATAAAAATACTAAATGTGTTGAATAAATTAAAGATGGTATTTGAACATGAGGGTCAATATTTAAAAGCAGGACTTACTTTACTGTACGCAGTATTGCAAAATCATTCACTGCAGTTTCACATGTGACCACAAGAGAGCAGCGTTTTACTGTCTAACTAGTTTATGATAGTATCCACACACACACACACACACACACACACACACACACACACACACACACACACACACACCTCCGTATCCATAACAGTTTGTTGAATGTAGAAAGTCTAAGGAATAATCTTTGTAATGGTTTTATTTCTCCATCAAATACTCACGAGTCCATGGCAATCAGAGTAGCAAATAGTGAGACAGACACACACACACACACACACACACACACACACACACACACACACACACACACACACACACACACACACACACACTCCACCCACACATACACACACACACTCACATACATTAGTAACCTTGATTCTGGATAATGTTATTGGGGGATTTTCCAGCAAACAACACATTAATAGGATAAACGTCAGCATTAAGTTGGTGGTAAAAGCAGAGAGAGATTAATGAAGGATAAACCGGCCTGTCGTCGGCACATCAGGGAGGCTGTAAAACACTGTGGGACCTCAGGATGTCAAACTGAGAAAATACATTAAAGAGGATATCTGCTCCGAGGCAGTGTTCACGCATCTTCAGAAAGAAATAACATATTATAAAATTGTAATATGTCTTGAATGAGTTTCATAGACACATTTCTGAGTTGTTAGTGTTACATTAAGTGCCTCCTTTCAGTGCAATACATCTTTGTTTGGCATTTGTCGTCATTATTTTCCAGGCTGAAATATTAATTTACTTAGAAATTTCATTTTTGCTTTTTGGACTGGAGCTGTGTTGATTGTGTTTGGAAAGGTTTTTCTGCTAGTCCACTTTTAAAGTTAAGTTTGGGTTATTAAAGAGACAGTTCTCCACAAATAAACAAACTTTCTTTCCTCTTATCTATCAAGATTGGTAAATGGCCGAGTGTAACAGATGTCTGCCTTTTCTCTCATGTAATGAAACTAGGCGGCACTCTGCTTGAAGTGCTCTGAGCACCAAAAAGATTAATTCAAAACTCAACAGTAATGTATCTTTCAAGATTAAGAAATCATGACCTATATACACAAAACCCTTCAGAGACCTTGTTGAAAGCATTTCATGTAGGTACTATTTTCTTTCTACTGAATTACACCCACCAATCATATCATCATAAAGAATGAAGCATCTACGTCGGCTTAGCATAAAGAAAATAAGGTTAATTCTAGCCTGTCCTTGGAAGGATTGATACAAGAACTTCCTATAAGGTGATTCAGAAAGCGTTGCTATTGTTAAAGTGAACTTTGTTGGCGAGGCTTTTATTGTGCACTGTCACGCTCAGCTCTCCACCTGCCTCCCCGCCGCCCTCACCTCCCTCTCACACTGCCTTTCTGAGAGTCATTTTATCGCATCATTATGTTTAACCGTTAGCTCTCTAAATAATCACCGAGGTTTAATGACCCCTGTCACGGTGCTCTCATTTGCATAGAAGTCCGATTGACTGTCTGCAGGCAATCAACACTTAAATGGCAGAATGTGCTCTGTAATGGTGTAGCACTCACAACAGAGGCCACGGGAGGCCTGCCATCACACAATGTGGAGTAAATAACGTTTTTTAATGGAGTGAAAGCTAAAGGATGAGAGTATCCTCAAGTTATCGCCATCATTTCAGCTGAACTGAGAACATAAAGCAGATGTTGAAGCAGAGGTTGTGTGTTACTGCTACTTCTACTTCCCTCATGTGATCAATGTAAGCCCCATATATCCTGCAGTAATAAGATCTTATAGATATCTAGCACTGCTATGAATCATTCAGCAGCTCGAGCCGTGACATCTGATAGATTTTTTAGAGAATTCATCTCTGGAGGCAAGTGTGATTAGAGCACTGCATATCTGATAAAGATAGAACATTGATAGATAATGTGTCACAGCTGCATCAAAGAACCACTTTGTACCTCATTTATCGCTTCTCACTACGCATATACAATCATAAATGCATAAAATACACCTTACTCTTCTGCTAAATGTAGCTGCAGATGGATTACTGAACCATGCACCGGCCGAGGGATGCATAAAGCCTGGTTTTCTCCTGCAAAATGTCACTTCAAGAGACACATTGACCAAAGAAAATAAACAAAATGACCTCAATGAGGCACAAAACAACTGCAAAAAGATGCAAATTAAATCTTAAATAGGAACAAAAAGACCATAACAATTACACAATATAACCAAAAAATACTTAAAATTACTTTGAAGAGGCACAACATGACCAAAAAATAAACACAATAACCACAATGAGGCACAAAACAAGTGCAAAACAGGGCAAATAACCACAAAGATACACAAAACTACCAGAAAGAGATGCAAAAGACAACAAGGAACACAACAAATGGCATAAAAGTACTAAAAAAGACAACAAAATGACCCCGATGTAACACAATATCACAAAAAGGTGCACACAAAATAAGATAGAGATAGGAAAAAAGCCACAATACAGTCTGTAAATCTTGCTTTTGTGAACTTTAACATGTCTGTGCCCAGTGGCCTATAGTCTCATGATCCCCCAACGGCTGCACAACACAACAAATCCCATTTCAAAATGTCTCAGCGAAGGAAATTGATTATTTGTTATTGTGTGGAAGCTGTAAAATGAAACTCGATGCTCCCCGCAAGCCTCTAACGTTCGACTGCGTGTTGATCTGTGGCGAAGGATGTTCAGATTGAAGCTTTAAAGACTGGCAGCAGACGTTAAATGTCGCTAAAAATACACTTTTGAAGCAGTCCTCCTCACTCTTCATGGGAAATGACATGCAGCAATTGCAGAGCTTTAGTCATCAGGTGGAAGTGGAGCTTCTGAGTGATCACTTATGTCCAGTCCCATCTATTTGAAACGCTATTTCTTTCTGATGACAACCACTTATGAATCATTTCTGCATTCACATTGGATCAGATCAGTTCACGCTGTGAGGAGAGTCACATGCTGCTGCAGTGGATGTGATGGGAAGTTTCCCTTTGCTCCCAGCTGGAAAGATGTCCCACGCGTTTCCCTTTGTCCTCCCTCTCCTTTTCTGTGTGTGTGTGTGTTTCTCTTTCTTCAGTTTCTCTTCCGTTCTTTACCGGTATGGCCAGCTTCACTCTCTCAGCCATTGTGAGAAAGGAAGTGTGACACGTTTCTGTGTGTTTGTGTTAGCAGGAATGTGTGTGGGACTGTTGCAGATGGTTTTCAGAGGATTCAGGAATTCCTCAGAAACACACCAGGCTTTTTAAGCTTTGAGTATTTATTCACACAACACACATAGGAACCCATAAAGTGACCCTTCACTGGATGTAGACTGTCCTCAGTGACATTACAGATACATGGAGCATGTTTTTGTATAGTTTAAACACCAATATTTCTGTGCATAAAAGAGCTTAGTAGACATTACATTATCAGCATGTCTCAATAAAAACTAATCAGACTCCAATACAGAGGACTGAAGCTGCAGGGCTCAACATCTCATTATTATGGTATGGGTCATGATGAGGCAGGTTATGCGTGCTGCTTATGTTACTGCCAACAACATGAGCCAAGAGATTCTCTGGATGAATCCGGTCCCACGCAGCACAGGGTCACTTCCCCATGAGTGTGACAAAAGTTCACGGCATTGCATTTTGGATGAGCCTGTTGCATATTATATATAGCAGCTCTTTTCTTCAAGATTCCAGTTTGGATAACTTGTCTTAATTTAATTTTTCTCTATCAAGGTTTTTGTTGCCCCATATTTCCCAGAAAACCTCTACAACCGTAGAGAGTAGAACTTATTATGTGATATTGATTTGGGATTTAAAGGGGCCCATTTATGCTCATTTTTAGGTTCATATTTGTATTTTGTACCTTGTTGTTCAAAAAGCTCTTTATTTTCCTCATACTGCCTGTGCTGCAGCACCTCTTTTCACCCTCTGTCTGAAACCAGAGCCCTGTCTGCTCTGATTGGTTAGCTGGCTGGCTCTGTTGTGATTGGTCAACCGCTTAGAGATGCCCCGCCCCTTAGCCTATCACGTACAATGTGTTGGAGCACTAGCCAACAGAAGCGTGAGTGTTAAGTAGTGATGTCACTTTGTTACAGAAGTAAACAAAGAAGTCCAATGGAGGCGTTTCAGGAACTCCCTCTCGAGGAAACACAGCGTTTTTAGCCTTTGCAGACCATTAACATGCACTAAAACCTATAACACATAACAGGAAAGGGAAAACCCCGAAAAAGCATGATAGGGCCCCTTTAATTCAGATTTTCCGCTTCATTTTTCTTCACAAAGCCTCATGAGACAACTAAAATAGCCTTACCCTACAGTTCTCACATGCATGCATACATTAGTGCATGTGCCTGGCTGTAATCAGACTGCTGAACATGCACATGGTCGTCCATAATCACTCACAGGCTGGAGGTCAGTCCGTCTACTGATGGTTTTAATGTGGCTGACATATGCTGCCTTGAAACCCGCTTCCAGTGAAATATAAAGTGCATCCATCTAATGGTTTTTTTTCTGCTGGCTTGCAAAGGGGGAAAAATAAATGTGACTATATTAGCGTGGAC